GGGGCACAATTCCAAAAGAAGATCGTACAGACTTCAAGCGCTATCCTCCGCACGTTTCCCGCCGCCTCGGCCACGTAGATGCGATCATCGTCCAGCGGGTCCGCAGCCACGGCGAGCAGCTTCGAGGTCAGCTTGATCGGGTCGCCTAGCTTGTTCTTCGACTTCTCCGCTTTGCGCGTCTCTTCTGAGAGCGCTGAGCTGTTTTGCGTTGGACGGTTGACGTTAGCTCGAGGTAGGTTCCTTTTCGGAATTGCGGAGAGTAAGCCAGGAGAGAATCGCACATACCTTGTTTGGAAGAAATGACCTGGATCCGTGGAGCGCGACATGGTTGTGTGTGTGGAGAGCGAGGGGTCGGAGGTGCTGGGGTTCAGTGTTTGGTGGGGCTTGCACAGATACCTAGGACGTGGGGCGGGAGACGCGTCTGAGCGTGACCGCGCAAGTAAATGCAGCTGTGCGTACAGTAGGTAGTAGGACCAGAGCAACGCATGAAATAGAGCCGTTTGCGATCGAATTAATTCAAGCAAGACGGTGCCACGGAATCAACGCCACCAGCTTTGGACCGCAGCAAATATACGATTAGAAGACTGCGGGAAAGACCTTTCGGGTTCTCCATGAATTGGCCTTCACTTCTCCTCAACTCAAGAAAGGTATCCTAACAACCAAATTTCTCAGAAAATTCCACCTAATGCCGTATCACTTTTACAGTTGCCGCTCACCGCGCGTATGCCCTTCCATGATCCCCCTCCTTATGCAAATTTCGATCACACTGCATCGTACACGCTCCAATTATAATTTTAGGAGAATCAGTTACCATCCGGGCTGCGACGGTGCTGCGCTGCCATGGTATCCAGCCTGATGTTGTCCCTGCCCATACGCACCATGTTGCCCATTTGGTGCTTGACTGACGTACCCTGCGGTATAGCCACCCTGCTGGGGCTGCACCGGCGATTGACCGTACCCTCCGTGAGGAGATGGCTGTCCGTAAGGAACCGCATTATAGCTGCCCTGTGAAAAGTTCCCAGCAGGGGGTGGTGGGACATGCTGCGTGTTGCCGTACCCTCCATGCTGCCCATAAGCACCTTGCGGACTCCCTTGATTGAAGTATCCCGCATGGTTTTGAGGCTGGTCGTGCGGCGCAGAGCTATAAGCTCCCTGGTGGTGCTGTTGCGGTTGCGCAGGCGGAGGCGGGAACGAAGGGGTGCTTTGCGCCTGGGGTCCCCATGATGCCGAACTTTGCGGGCCAAACGATGATGTATGCTGCGGCTGACTACCGAACGACGAAGTGTGTGCAGGAGGCGCATATTGGTTTTGACCATTGAGCGGGTTGGGGCTGGAATATTGGTTGTTGTAGCCGGGCTGTCCGGGATACGACGGTCCGGAGTTGGGTGTGTGGGAAGCGGAGCCAACGGGGTTATAGTGGGCAGGCGGAGCGGTGCCAGAGTAACCGCCAGTCGTTGGTGCTCCAGAAGAATACCCGTAATTATTGTTCTGCTGGCCGTGCTGTACCTCGTCAGCATAAAGACGCGGGACCTGGGAGTTTACGATCGCCATACCGAGCCATGACTTCCACCGCCTAGGATGCCGCCCAGCACACCTCCCAACCCACTGCTCTGATGAGAGCCAGCAGAGCCGCTGTGGCTTCCCTGTTGTTGCCCATGCGGCTTGTTCCCTCCAAGCAAGTTACTGGCGAGCGATCCTACAAGCCCGGCAGTGCCACTGCTGTGTCCGCCAGATTGAGAGCTGCTTCCGTGAGAACCACTGTTCAGGAGTGATGTAGCCAGGCTTCCAATCCCAGAAGACTGTTTTCCGCCGCCATGCTGCGATGCTAGAAGGTTGAAAGCGGTGCTCTGTATCAATGTTCATCAGCGACGTTCAAGTGCCAGTATCGGGCTCGCGCTTACACCCAGGCCTCTGTCGCTACTGTAATCCTCGGGTACGCCGTTCGGCGGTTTCGCTGGGTCGGGAATGCCCGCGTTTTCGCATGCGCTTGCAGGAATCTGCTCGGGTCGCCGCGAAGGGCCAGCGGGGGCTTCGCTGGTTGGCAGATCCCACTGCGAAACGCCGGTGCTTATCTGGACGTAGTAGTATTTGCGAGAGCTGCAAGGGTAGGCATCGTCAGCCGCGGAGCTGCGAGATTCCTCAGGGCGGAGGCCGGGCGAATTGGCTCGTCGTGCGGGCGCCCGGAAGACTGGGGTTCAAAGGCCCTTCAAAGCGACGGCGCGGGGTAACGCACCTGCTGTCCCACTGTGCTATCCAGCCTGACGGCAGCTTCGGGAGTTGAGAGTCGCTCGGGCCTGCGTCTGGCGACAGAGGTGCTGCCGGCGTGCCCGCCATGGTTGCCGAGGCAGAAGAGGTTTGTTAGACAGCTAGCGGGGACTGGTCGAAATGGATGACGGGCGGGCGTCTCGGGGGTGGAGTGGTGGAAAGGAGAGCGGCCGCGGGAAAGCCTCTGGGACCAGCGTGTGCGTGGAAATTAGGATAGAACGGGCGGCAGGGATGCGGGAAGTCGCGCGCGTCGGGCTTCAGGTCATATAGGCGTGGAGGGCTGTGCTCTGGAGCTCGCTGCCCATGATGCAACCCAAAGGGTCCAGCGGACATTCGCTGGCACCCGCCGACTGTGGCTGAAGGACGTGGCGCAGCGCGGGCAAAAAAAGACCGCGCAGCATCCCGAGTATTCTCACGCGGCCCCCTCGCCGTGTTCGCCGTGTTGGTATGTACACTGATGCTGCTGCTGCTGATACTGCCGCTGCCGCTGCCGCTGCCGCCGCCTCCGCCGCAGGAGCACGCCAGCCACCGCCGCGTAGGCATCAGCTGCGCGCGCTCAACGATTGCGTGTCCGGCCTGATGCGTCCGTCTCCGCAGGCGGCGGCCCGGCGCCCTGCGTTCCCACTTCGTTCATTCCCGACGACTGTGCCAGCTGACATGTCCACACTGATACCCACGCGGCTAATGACCTTGAAAAGACGCCACGGGAAACAAACTTGCGGCCACCGGAACGAGAGACGGAGGGAGAAATTACTTGTTAGTGTAGGCCCAGGAGGGAAAGGGGGTGAAGAGCCAAAGGCAGTGGACTGGCTCGCCGACCGTTCGGTCAACGGGTCAGCCCGTCGCGTTCACCAACAAATCAAGGTGTGAAAAGTGCAACGCTTCGTATGGGTCCCAGAAGGTTCCCTTCGAGTAGCCATATCTGGATGGATGCTACACCTTCTTCAGTGAAAGATACGCTGCGCAGAGCAATTTCCTGCTAAGAATAGAGGTAAAATGCGCGCGCATGTGCGACGAAGGCCATTTAACGGATACCGGGGTGTCTTCTGCCAGAGCCGCATAATCCCTTGTTCTTCTCACTCAGTGTCCGGAAGGCCTGGATGAGCCGTAGTTGTTGTGCTGTAGGACCCTTGTCATGGGGCTTCAGTATACGGATTGCAAGGCCGTCCCAGTTCTTATGAAGGCCCCCCTCCCTGGGTCGATCAATCTGTAACACCAGGCACCATCACTTTTCGGGCTGTAAGATAATGCGCAGGGCTGGGTTGCTGCAGAGAGCGGTTGTACGAAGTTTGATATCGCATTAAGAAAAAGCAGGAAAAAGAACAGACCCTCGCAACCTCCATGAACCCGCAAGAAAAGAAAAGATAGTAGCGTCTGCAAGAAAGGGGGGGAAGGAAAAAGAATCCACAACTCTCACACCATGATCGCCGTTAAACCTTATTCACCACGGATCCTCGATGGCAATCTGACGTTCCGATTCTCATCCCGCAGAGGCTAACCTGCGGGGACCGTATTATGAAGTGACCAGAAAACCCGCGCGCATCCAAAGGACTTCCTGCCCGCCATCTACCATGCAACAGGACGCACTGAAACGTGAGGGACATCTCTGCATAGGACGTGGTGCCCGGGGTCGTAGAGGGCATCCGGTTTCGCAAATCGCTCCGTCATGACCGACATAAACCGCCTAGCAGCATCCACCGCCCGAGCCCGACTGGACACCCTGGCCCTGTCCGATCGGGACCGTGGGCTTGTTGTTGACCTGCGTCGTGCCCATGCGCTCCTTGATCTGCCTGGCCATTGTCAAGAAAGCCTGCTCGACGTTGGACGCGTTCTTGGCCGAAGTCTCCAGGAAGGGGATGCCAAGGCTGTCGGCAAATTCCTACGATACCATGTCAGCATGCCCTCGGCATCCAGATGGTTGAACAGCTTGAGCCTACCTTCGCAACCGTGTACTCAACGACCTTCTTGTCCGCCATATCGGACTTGTTGCCCACCAGCAGCTTGTTCACACCCTCGGTGGCGTAGCGGTCAATCTCCTGGAGCCACTGCTTGACGTTGTTGAAAGAGTCCATGTCGGTGACATCGTAGACGACGCAGATGCCGTGGGCGCCGCGGTAGTAGGACGACGTGATGGTGCGGAAGCGCTCCTGACCGGCGGTGTCCCACTGCAGATCAGTTAGCCCCGCCTCTCTCCGCGCCGCTTTGAGGGGAACCCACAATCTGGAGCTTCACGGTCTTGCCGTCCAGCTCGATAGTCCTGATCTTCTGTATGGCTGTCAGCTCCGCGGCCAGGCTGCCTCGCGCCGAGGGTGAGGGAACGCACGAAATCGACACCGATGGTGGAGATGTAGCTCTCGGTGTAGGTGTCATCGGCGAACCGGAGCAGCAAGCAAGACTTGCCAACACCGGAGTCTCCGATGAGGAGCAGCTTAAAGAGGTAGTCGTATCTGACAGTGGTGCGCGGTTAGCGTTGCCTGCAGGCGCGGCTGCCTGGGCTCTTCAGTGGCATCGGCATCGTGGAGGACGAGAGAACGACTCTGTAGCAGCGGTTAGCCTCCGGGCGGATCCTCGCGTGTCGCGGCGGTTGGTACCGGCGGCGGCGACAAAGGCGCACGGCGGCGGAGATACCATGGGGGTTACGTACTACTCGGGGTTCATCGTGGCTGCGGGATCTGAGCGGGCGGCTTTCGGAAGGGAGTGAGAAGTGAGTCGTGGAAAGCAGCTTGCTGCGGAGGGAGGAAGGCGGAGTCGACAGTGTAGGGAGGGGGGAGCGTCGAAGGCGTCGTGAGCTAGATGTCGTATAGGGCACCCCAGGACCTCACCGTTCGCCCTGCAGGCGATCACGTGCGCGAAGGGTCAGTGTTTCACCGATGGCTGCTGGTCACTTCGCGCCCGCACGCCGCCCGGTCTTGAGCACCTTGGTACCTGACACTCGCAGCCACATGTGTCATGGCAGCATTTGCGTTGCATCTGACCTGCCCGCGCACTTGATCTCACAGGCGCGTCATGGCGCCAAGCTGCGCGCAGCAGGAGATGAGTTATCTTTTTCTAGCCAGTCGCTCTAGATACGCTCTCTAAGGCCGCCGCTTCTGCGTGCGTGCGCCATCACGTCTAGACAGGGAGGTATAAATAAAGTACAAAGGAACATCGCCGGGCTTGTCGCTCGCGATTCCAGCCGTCATGAGAAATAAAGAGCGCCCGCATTTACAAAGCCCGTAACACCGTATACACTTTTCCTGCTCGTCCGCAGCCCCCGCCACGCTTATCGGTCATGTGCGCAATGACTTCACATGAGTTTGTCGAACACAGGGATCAACGTCTGCGCCAGCCAGAACGAGAAGACGAGCTTCGGTCCGGTCATCAGCAGCTTGGGCGTCAGGCCCTTGAAGAAGCTGGTGAATCCCTCGTTCTTCATCATGTTCGAGACAATGCGGAAGCCGCTCTCCGGGTTCTCGAAGTTGCGGTTCTGGATGCGGGTCTTGATCACGTCGAGAGGTGCCGAGACGACGAGAGATGCGCTAGCACCAGCGATCGAGGCGACGAAGTTCTGTCCCCAGGTAGCTTTGTTATAGTCCTGGAGCTTGTAGATGTACTCCTTGGCAAAGGCAGATCCGCCGAAAAGCTAGAATCGTGTCAGTAGTCGCGCTTTCCAGCTGATGCGAGGATTTCGTACCGCAAACGAGCCGGGCGCATTGCGAGCCGCAGTCCAGCCCCAACCTCTGTAAAGACCGAAACCTTCATCCTTGATGATGCGGAAGAGACCACGTCCCCTGAAAGCCTCGGGGTTCGTCTGGCGCTTAATCTTGAGGACGTCGAGCGGAAGAATGCAGATCTCGCCAATACCGATCAAACTGTGCGCTGTTAGACGCTTCGTTGACAATTTGGCGATAATGTACTCACCTGCCAGCAGTGGCATGCATGATGGCCTTGCCGGTACCCTTACCGAAGGCGTTGTCGAACTTGTCGCCGTGGTTCTTCGCCAGGTAATCCCTCACGAAAGGCTGACCACCATACTTGTACACTCTTTGGAGCACCTAACGAACGTAAATATCCGGACACCCTTCTCGTGTCCATCCCGACGTACCTTGTAGACGGCCGCATATCCAAGACCGGGGAACAGGGAGAAAAACCGGGCGGAAAGCGCGGCGCCTGCCTTGTCCTTGAAGATGACGGTGTTGAGCTGTACGCTGGACGCGATCTAGGAAGCCAGAAGTTAGGACATGCGCAATTCAGAGGGCGATGCAGGCTACAAACCTTGCCGTGGTTGCTCATCAATCTTTTCGCGATGGTGTCAACCTGTTGAGATTATCGTCAGCGTCGGGCGCGAAAACAGAAAGCACCCAGTTCAAGCTTACAGGGTGGAAGACGGCCAACTCGGCGATACCGGCGCATCCTAAGAGAGTCAATTGAAGCCTGCATGGCACTCTCTTGCATTGCCTTACCTGCTCCCGTCAACCTTGCGACGGTTGACTCTTTCTTGAACTCCTTCGAGGCCGAGCCAGTGGAGGCAATTACGGGGGCCATCTTGAATGATGATGCTCAGGAGATTCCGGGAGCGAGGAACGGGTGGAAAGGTGCTTGAGCGCGAACGGGACGTGAGGACGAGCGGGATGTCGAGATCGGAGGAAGTTGAGCGATACTTTTTTTCGGTCGCAGCGGATTCGCGCCAGGGTTGCTCGAGCGGAGCCACGAACGCCTCCGAGGCCGCTGGCGTGCCTCGCCCGCTTGCCGCCCCAGCGGTTGCTTGAAAGAGCCTCAACCAGCTCCGACTTTCCAGAGAGGCATAGCTCAGCAGGAAGCTAACAGTTTCAGCGGAAGACTGTCGCACCCATTGCGAGCAGAAACAAATCTGACTGCTCAATTACATGGACGCAGCAAGACGGATTGTCAGGCACGGCTTGAAAATGCGTGCACGCGCCCGGTCGGAGCTAGGCACCTTGTCGGTTCTCAGACTATCACTTGTCAGCTGCACCATCTTTTTTCTAATTGATCGTTATATCTCGTTCCCTTCGCCTGCTAGGACAGGCCTGGATGCCGATTGGCGAAAGCAATGCGGCTCTATTCGTGCCATTACTGCAAATTTTATACATGTTTGATTGTGAGACGTCGAGACCGCATGTTCCTGTCCTTGTCGTAGGTAGATGGTCACCATCAGGACCAAAAAAAAAAAGGAAAATACACATGGCAAGTAGGGTCTGTAATCACATCGTTACGTCAAGCCCATTGCATTGTAGGATGGTGTTTGGCGTAGGGGCTCATGATTGCGGCTGCAGGTTGTGACAATCTCCCGTAGGACATCAACACCAGGCGCGCCGGGGGTGCGAATAGATCGAGCCAGGCAGGATGTGTGTTATCCGGGGTATTTCCATCGTGCAAGCAACTGCAAAGGGTTGCTCTAAGTTTCGTGATATCTCAACCCTTCGCGTTGCTGTGGCGGGTGTCTGCGCTAGGCCCTTTGGTGCAAGTGCTATGATGATTGGTCAACGCGGGGAGGCGCGCGGTGTCGCGCTCAGCGCCGCACGTTTCTAGGCGAGCGGACATCTTCAGCGCGACAATACAAGCTGCAATCCGTTTGCCCTCCACCTCAACAAAATCATAGCCCGCTCGCACCCTCCTGGACCATCGCCGATCACTCGCCGACACAACTACCCCCGCACTTTCTTCACGACCGCGACTCAGACCATCCAATACCCACGTCAACATGAGCGCCGAGCACACTGACAACACGATGACGGGCGGCGATGCTTCCCTGGACAAGGGCAAGGGCAAGGCCGCCGAGCCGACCCGCGAGGACGTCAGCATGGGTGAGGAGGACAGCTCCGACGAAGAGTCTGGCGCCGAAGAGCCGGTATGTTTGCTCTGTCCAACCTCGCGGCCAATGTGCGACTGCTAACTCTACTCACCCAGGCCCCCGAACGTATGCGCCGCTTGCCCTGACCCACCGTTATCGTTGTTGCTGACCGCATTCGCAGCTGAGGAGGTCGATGAGGACAACATGGAGGAGATCGATCCCGACAACATCATCCAGGATGGCAGGCGCACGCGTGGCAAGACGATCGACTTTACCAAAGCCAACGAAGAGGTTGGTCAGGAGGACTATGATGAGGATGACGACGAGGACTTTGAGGACCCCGACGAGTCCATGGAGCACTAGACGTATGTGCCCGTTGCGCCGTCTACCGTCGGCGTGTGCGCGTCACTTCGCACAATATCGGAACCTGAAAGTGGGAGGCTGACATGTTAGCAGCACTGTAGGTTCCTTCGAACCTCGGTCAACAACGGCCTTCGAGTCCTGGAGTGAGCCGTGCTGGCGCCAGATCTGCACGGGAAAAATCATAGTTGGAGATGACTGCTGCTTTCAAAAACATAAAAGAAAACAAAAAAGAATCCAATGCGGGGTATGGTATCAAAGACTACGCATTGGCACGAGGATGGTTCTAGCGTGGCAGAGACCCATTGGCATACCCGGGATTAGGCAGAGTTGGCATACGAAAAAAAAAAAAGAATACCCCAATTACACTGCTTCCGACTGCTCCCGCTAGCATTTATATGATTGAACGATGACATAGTAGTTCGGATCTTTTCCCACTGTTCAATCAATCCGGCCCATTAGGAACATCAACGGACGAAGGGCACTGCAACAGCCTGGACGCATGTGTACCCAATGGGACCACAGCTGTATGTGAACACATCATGCATGAGTGACAGCTGGACGTCGCAGAGACAGCTACGCATCGGGTCCGAAGATGCCGCAGTCGGCCGTGATTCATGGGTTTAACGTTGCAAACCAAATTAGGAAACCCAACCCACTCTCTGGCATGTTATCCCACGCGGCACCAAATTCCGCCTCATCACCGCAATTTCGACCTGAGGTCTCTGTGACTTGCTTCCACGGCTCTACCTAGCGCATTCGGTTGAGCTCCCGCCGGATGTACGTATCCTAGACGCTAGTGCGCGCACGGGAGGGTCGTGGCATCTGCACACATTTCGGCCAATGCGATTGGTCTCTCGCGGACCCTGAGCAGCCTCGCCGTCAGACATCAGGCTATCGGTAAAAGGCACACAACCACAGTGCCGAACCGGGAGGAGCCTACTACTAACGTTCACGTGGAAAGCGATTGTACGGGCGATGGCGCGACGTGGTTCCGCGGTTCCGGGATGAATAGCAGTAGGCTCAAGATGCCGATACATCTGCCAGCGACGCTACCGCCGCGATCATGAGCCGGGGACCGGGTTATGATTTGAACGCCAACATAGAGCCAGCGAAGGTGGATGACGACGGACGTGCAATAGCGCCCTGGGGCAGCGGCGCGATTTCGTCCGCCCAGGCGCGGAAGACAACGGCGGGGCGTTGTTGAACCCTGATAGGATCTCACGGCGCAGGCAGATGCCCGCTTGCGGAGGCAGCCGTGGCGGCGGAGCCCCAGCCTATTTCGGCCGTGTGGGATGGTGTGGCCATCATGTGCGGCGTCTTGCAGCAGCACGAAGTTCAGCAGCGATATCGGCGGCTGGCCTCGCTGGAGGGTTTGGCGAGCAGCAGCTGGGAGTGACTCATCGGAATGGATTCGCAGAGGTTCCGTGCAATCCCGAGGCGTCTCGGCCTGCTCCGCATCGAGTGGGTGGATATTTTGTCGCCGAAGCGGCATGGCTTCCAGGCCGGCGCCAGTGTGCGCCCGACGGCCGCGCGGGTTTGCGCTCCCAATTTCGTCAATCAAGCGCCGCAAATCACTGCGGCCGAGGGGGCGCCGACGGTCGCCGATGCGGGCAGCGTGCGGCTGGGCACGCGGGGAGTAGTCTGGCAGTCTATCAAGCAAGCCGTTTCCGGATGCGCGCACGCTGATGTGCGCCTTCGGGAGGGTCGCGATAAGGACAGGGCGGCGTCATGACGAGCTTGAATTACCCTCAGGGAAACTCGAGCAGCCAATTGCGGCCAATCAGCGGCGCGGAAACAGGCGCTTGAAACGTATGCGCGGGCTGATTTGCGGCCGCCGTCTCCCCCTCGAAGCTTGGGCGACGCTCAAGCCGCATGCGAGCTGCAGCGGCCAGCCTTCGCCATGTCATCGGGCAGCGGGCCAGCGAATCACAGGCGCTGCTTAGCTACTCCCGCTGCCACCGCCCTGGGAGGCTGGCGAGATCTAAGCAGCTTTCGGCTGCGCGCCGTGGCAGAAACCGTGGGGTAGCAGGGAATTTTTCATGACCGACGTATGCAGATAAATAAACATGCGCGGAGCACCAGGCCCTGCCAAGCGGCCGCTGCGATTGCGGAGCGCGCGCGCGACCGTCAGGCGAGCGCCTCGGGAGAGGGCGCTGCGAGGGCGAGCGATGGGGTCGCAACGGGGGCGACGGCGACGACGAGGCAGCGTTGCGGTCAACGACGTGGTGGGCGGCGCAGCGGGGCGTGTTCTCGGTGTAGCTTGCGCAGAGCAGAGCAGTGACGGAGCAGCGCGAGCTGCGGCGAGGCCAACCAGGCCATTGCCATTGGTAAAACAATTCTCAACGTGCCAATGAAAAATATCATAATGGTAATCTGGCTCTGGCTCTAGCGCTTTCGTCGCCTTCCCCACCTTCAGGGCAGGAGACGCCTTCATAAGCTGCCTCGCCGTCCGCCTCCGTCACTCTCCTGCCGTTCGCACTCCCTCTCCTCTGACTGTCACTCTGGTAGCGTTGCGCACGCAGTGACCCAGCCGTGCTCCTACAATCAATCCCATCCAGCGCGTGAGTGCTCTGTCTGCTTCTCCCACCACCTGCCCTGCCCTTGCCACATCCACATGCAGCAAAATTCCTGCCGAGCAGGGCTAGTATCGTGCGCCCCACTCGCCCTGTGATTCGCCCAAGCTCTTATCGTCAGCGCCTGGGGACGACACAGAGGCGCCGTCTGGGGACTGAGCTACATCATCTGCCTGGAGATCGTCGCGACGTGGTCGACCAGCTTGCGCACCAGACGACAGCTCGCCCCTCCACCCGTTGCTCGATTCCCGATCGCCACCGCCGGCCTACTCTTTTTCCATTCCTCTGCCCGTTTGCTTGCTCGCAGCCCACAACCGAAAATTCTCCCTCCGCACCTCACCCTTCCACTTCCCTCCGTCGCCAACTCGACCGACGTCACTCCACCCACATCGCACGCCCGAGACCAAGCACTTCGGGGCTTCTGCTAACCATTGGCCCGTCCAGGCGGCAACACTACCAGATAACTCACGACGCCTCACTCGCCAACAGCGCTCCTGCAGTACTCAATCCATCGCAGAACGATTCGGCCTGTCGCCGAAGCTATGGGTCGGGTCTCATTCGCTGAAGATACCAAACAATGCGACAGTATTGAGGAAGAGTACACGCCCAGCGTCTACGAGTACGAGAATACTCCGGACAACAAGTCATGGGCGGGCGCGCTCCCTAAGAAGCAGGGTCTCTACGACCCGGAGCTGGAGAAGGATGCATGTGGTGTCGGTTTCGCTGCGTAAGTCACCCGCTCGCACAAGCCGTGCGCATGCCTCTCACCGGGCTCTTGGCTGACGATAACACAGCAACATAAAGGGCGTTGCGAGCCACAAAATCGTCAGCGATGGTAAACTTCGTATCCCCCGAGACTCCAGGAATGGACGCTGACGCGTGAACTCTCCAGCTCGGAACCTTCTGTGCAACATGACCCACCGTGGTGCGGTTGGCTCAGACGCCAGAGACGGCGACGGTGCCGGTGTCATGACCTCCATCCCCCACAAGTTCTTCATCAAGAACTTCGAGCGGGACCAGGGCATCAAGCTGCCCCCTCAGGGCCAGTATGCCGCAGGCAACTTGTTCTTCAAGCCGGACACGGAGATATTGAAGGAGACGATTGCTACGTTTGAGGAGATTACGGATTCTCTTGGATTGCGGGTTCTTGGGTGGCGAGAGGTTCCCAAGGATTCAACACTGCTGGGTCCGGCGGCGCTTTCGAGGGAGCCCATCATCCTGCAGCCTTTCGTCGTTGCTAGGGATGCCTATGGCCCTAGCAATGCGCCGAAGGAAACGTACTCCCAGGAGTTTGACGAGCCGTGGTTTGAGAGGCAGCTGTATGTGCTGCGCAAGAGAGCGACGCACGTGATTGGTCTTCACAACTGGTTTTACCTTTGCTCTTTGAGCAACAAGAACATCGTCTACAAGGGACAGCTTGCCCCTGTCCAAGTATACGAATATTACCACGATTTGGTCAATGTTGACTACGAGGGGCACTTTGCTCTCGTTCACTCCCGTTTCTCGACGAACACTTTCCCCAGTTGGGACCGCGCCCAGCCTCTGCGATGGGCAGCCCACAATGGTGAGATCAACACTCTGCGCGGCAACAAGAACTGGATGAGGGCCCGTGAGGGTAACCTGAAGTCCGACCTCTTCGGCGATGAGCTCGAGCTGCTGTTCCCCATTATTGAGGATGGCGGTTCTGACTCCGCGGCCTTCGACAACGTGCTCGAACTTCTCACGATTAACGGTGTTCTCTCCCTCCCTGAGGCTGTCATGCTCATGGTTCCCGAAGCGTGGCAGGGCAACCGTGCCGTTGACCCTGCGAAGCAGGCTTTCTACGAGTGGGCCGGCTGCATGATGGAGCCCTGGGACGGTCCTGCTCTCTTCACCTTCGCTGATGGCAGGTACTGCGGTGCAAACCTTGACCGCAACGGTCTGCGTCCCTGCCGTTACTATGTTACGGATGATGACCGCATCATCTGCGCGTCTGAGGTCGGTACCATTGGCATCGACCCGGAGCGCGTCGTTCAGAAGGGCAGACTGCAGCCCGGAAGGATGCTTCTCGTCGACACCGTTGCCGGCCGCATTGTCGATGACTCCGAGCTGAAGGCCACTGTGGCCAACAGGCACGATTTCAGGGCATGGATTGACAAGCACTTGCTCACCATGCAGGGCATCTACGGTGCTCTCACACAGAAGGGCGAAGATCTCTCCCACGCCATCACCGAGACTAAGATTCAGGAAGATCCTCGCCTGAAAGCTTTCGGCTATTCACTGGAGCAAGTCAGTCTACTCCTTGGTCCCATGGCTGCCGACTCCAAGGAAGCCCTTGGATCCATGGGCAACGATGCTCCGCTTGCCTGCTTGGCTGGTCAGCCCCGTCTGCTTTCCGAGTACTTCCGCCAGCTCTTCGCTCAGGTCACTAACCCTCCGATCGACCCC